AAGTCAAGCACAAAGCAGACCATTCTCGTTTTTATGCCTCTATTGCCAGCGCCGCATGAGTCAAAAGCAATATAAACGTTCTTTTGCGGAGCAAAGTCACCGTTTTTTTTTGCCGGTTTTGACTCTTTTGTTTGACGAGCCACGATGAGGCAGAAGAATTTTAACTGTGATAAATGGCAGGCCCCCAAGTTTCAAACTGTTTGTTTTTGCCCCAGCGATAAAATAAAAGGGTTATTGAAGCATGCTTTCAGCTCGGTATATTTCCAGATACCAACTGAATCTAATATATATATATATATATATACATATATATTTTTTTTTATAAAAAGAGCTTATGTCATGAGCATGAGCCGGGGACTGTAGAAAACATTTTTTTATTTTTTAAGGTCGGGAAAGGAGCACTTTCCGGCCGTTTACAGCCGTTTTGTGGAATTTTCATGGCAGTAATACGTTAGGAAAGCTTTATTTTTCTTGTGAAACTGTATCCCGCTCAATTGTCTACGAATTAATTGAAAACTGAATAATTAAATTGCATTTGAAGCTGAATAAGTAAGTTAAATTAAATCCGAGTAGTAGAAGTAACTTAACGTTAATTGTAATGAATCACCGTTGATAACTCGTTATGCTTCAATTACCCTTATGATGCTGTGCTCGGAACTTTTCTAAAACTAAATAAACAGACATCCAGCCTTTCCTCGAATTGGATCGCAGTACTACTTTCAGTATATCATATCGTCAGTTTATAGTATTACTAAACAAAAATAAAAAAGGAAAGGTTAATTTCTTACGGATTTCAGCGTGGTCGCGGAATAGGAATGCACTAGAAGTTCACCATCCAGTCCGGGCTTTCTGCCTTCCGTCGTGCTTTAGCGGCGTAGTCAAGACATTTCCAAAAGTTATCGAAGAAGCTTTCACTAGATGCCTTCTACTGCTCAACTGAAACATGTATGAACACGAGAGCGCAGTTTTCAGCTTAGGTTGCGTTTGCAGTCGTGCACGTCAAAAGCTTTTCAATTGTCACACGCCCGTGAGTGTGCCGTCCCTTGAACTACGTACACCTTACATGACAGAGCACCCAGAAAAGTGCAGGCGCCGACAGAAACACGTGGTGCAAGGTTTCACAACTATATGGCAAGTGAGGTTTAATAGAATAAAGTCAAAGTTATATTACTAGCTTAGAGACCGCACCACTACAGGTTTTCTAATGGTGCGAAGGGTCCAGGGGGCACATAAAAGATATCTAATTTTCTAAACTTTTCGCTTTTTGCTCGTATGTATATGCTAAGGCCCGTGAAGTCACCTAAGGTGTAAAACATGACTATCAAAGGAATGGATAGGAACTTCACTGACGTATGTATTATAAGGGTAGAAAGTTGGGCAAGTGTGTGATTCATAATGATTAAAATGTAAAACAAGATGACTAACAAGGAGGAGACACAGACACAGCGCTTTGTCTGTGCCCCTCTTTGTTTGTCCGTCGTCTTGTTGCGCTTTTTAATCAGTATGTATTATATAATGACAATCTGGTATACTGATACTTTATGTATTGTATTGAACTGCTTTTTTCTTCAATATAGGCAAATTTAATTCATGGGTACAAGCAGGGATGGGCAAAATACATGCAAATATGTATCGAAATACAAATACAAAATACTTCGTCAAAAATGTATTTAATTACAAATCTAATTACATTTCCAAAAAAGCATTTAATTACAAGATACAAATACAACCAAATGTATTTGTCTCCGCCAAATACTTTTCCAAATACATTCCTCAAAATTTGCGTCAGCGACTTCGGGCACCTGCGACGGGTTTCTGGGTATCTTATTTTAATTTTGCATCGCACACTCGGGAGTTAGTGTGCGAGGCTCTAGTAACGTAATAGAAATATAATCACAAAAAATGTAATCAGCTCGATTACATTTTGGTATAAACCAACAAAGAACCGAGACGACCAAGACGCGCAGCACTAGCTAGAGAATTTTTTATTGTTTTTTATTCTTTATTTTTTTTTACCCGCGCATAGAATGTTCCAGGCAAAAATATGGATGGAAATCAGGCTGGAAAGCATCACAAGTTGTTACAGGCACTTATTTAGCCAGTCTGCCTGTGAACGTCGATTTCGTCACTATTCTTGCCCTGGACTAGCAACGTCATCACAAAGTCACTAAACGCTTGTGCTTGATTGAGAGACATTGCATTCGGTGCAGAACGTAGTTTTCTTCCTGCTCTGGACAGTGACAATAAATTTGAGGAATGTATTTTCGCCCACAAAATTGTATTTAATTACAATTGTATTTGAAATACCCACGTTTTAGTATTTAAATACACACGTCAAATACATTGCCCAATTTGTAATTAATTACAAATACAAAATACACAAAGTATTTGAAATACGTATTTCAAATACTTGTATTTGAAATACTGCCCATCCCTGGGTACAAGCAATACCAAAAATACTGCGATCGACTTTTTTCTTCATAAAATCACTTTGTTTTGCACGATAAAAATGTAGTCAAAATATTCTTATATTCTGTATAGTGGTTCCTTCGGTACTGAATTCATAGAACGTTGCGTTAACTTCTATATTTTGATATCTTGCAAAAGCAACAAAGAGCTATAAGCTATTTTTTACAAACATATTGTAAAGAAGTTATACTAAAAATGACTTCCTGAGAATGTAATTACAAATAATATTGAAAAGTAATTAAGTAATTTTAATGTATGGTTGTAAAGGAATTGTTACCCCACGAGCCACTTGCCTTGTTACGTGACGAGGAGCTTGATTGACGGTTACGTCAAACACGACTGCTCGATGCTGGTGTCTCTTACAATGATAATGGGAAAATGGGTGATTCTTTCTGGCGGCAGAAGCGAAAGTTTTGACTGCGGCCGCATGGACAGTATCACGCATGGTGCCACTGAATAGTGGCCAGTGTACACACTAAAAAAAAGTTACACTTAGCGGTAAATCGGCTTGTCCAAGGGCTAACACCATAAGGGTTCTTTACAAAGAAACTTAGGATGCTGGCAAACACTCTAAGTGTAGGCAGCTGGCGATCATAGGAGCCACCTGGAAATATATTTTACAATGTATGTATACAAAAAAGAAGCATCAGATGCAGTTATCAAAGGCTCAAGAAGAAACAAAAATACTGATGCTATGAATTACGCTCCAGTAAAAAATGAAGACACCAAATATTACTACAAAGGCGTACATACTCTACGATTCAAATACACCTATTCTAAAGTTACGGTCTACAAAAGAAAATTTAAATATGTTTTTTATCTTCTAGTGCACATTTAACGTAAATTATGATAAATAACTTCTTAAAGGAGTGCTTTCTAGCAAAATAAATTGGAAGAGGCGACTCCCTCACGAACCGAAGCGCTATATTTTGTTTTGTAAATATTGTATTATAAACATCTTGTTAAACCTTTCCTTAACAATATTTCACAAAGTTTGGTGCCTAAACCTTAAAAAAACGAGGATGTACTACGGTGAAGATGAAAAGAAGGCATGGGGCGATTTCTAGCCACCTTCCCCAATTTCTTCAATATGATCACATCGGCTCTGAAGCTAACTCCGCTGCCTGAAGGTCAAATTTAAGAGACGCTGAACTTTCTCGCTTTAAAACAACGATACAGTTCGTTTCTAGTCCAAACCAGAACGCTCAAACTGCTGGCTCAAGAATACGCCACAAAAATGGACCTACCGTTAAACTTCCTTGTTTAGAATTCCTGAACTGCAACGGAGATCTGGAGGACATGTAAACAATTTGGGACCAGTTGCAGTCATTTAACCGCAACTACCCGATCCTGACTTCAATTGAAAATTTGAAATATTTAAAGATATTCAAATTCCGTCAGGTCAAATTTTTTTAAAGAAACTATATGTTATTAACCACTGAAGCGTTGCGCTTAGGCTCTTAGAGACGAGGTTCGGACAGGCTACTGTGGTTGTGAATAACCAGCTCTCTCACCTCATGCACATCAAGCCCATCACATCATCCAAAGACAGAGGTGACCTCAGGGCACTCCATAACAATGCAATTGCCAGAACCGTGAGTATTCAAAGTTTTTATATACTAGACATCCATCGTGTGTATTCATTTTCAGTACCGTATCCTAATCGGCGCTTCCTCCTGAACTCGTCAGGTGAAGCCAACATTTAAACTTTCGATGGCCTTCAAGAGCCGCGCAAGACGCTGACACAAGAGTACTCACATTCATCGACATTAAAATCACCAAAAGACAAAAAAGTCTTCAGCCATCCGCGCGTTATCTACAAGAAAAGAAAACATTCAGAAACTGAACGATCTTTAGCTATCCGCACGTTACTTAAACGAAGTTTTGCCTCCGCTTTTTCTGCCATTCAAAAGGCTGAAATACCACGTTTTATATCTTTTTTTACCTCTGATCATTATTTCTTGAAGAAATGCACAACACCCATGTAAACGCAAAAGAAGAAAAACTAAAGCGTAAAAACAGGGGCTTCAATGTGAAAAGCTTTTCTATCACTGAAAATATTGTGGGAGCGCAAAAGAGTTTTCTTTTTGAAAGTTAGTTGGCAAACACTTGGACATAGTTGTTGGACTCAGAAAGGGCTTCAAGTGCAACAAAACAGACGTCAAGCGTTCCTATCAAAGTTCTTCACTTTATTAAAATTTAGCTTGCTCTAGCTGCAGTGATTCCGCACAAAAATAGACAAACGATGTCGTGATGTCGAAATACTTGTAGCACTTAAAGATTCCCAATATTTTGCGGAGAGATCATCAGCATAACAGAGGATAACCTCATACGAAGTTTTCAATCAAAAGGCGTGATCTTGGCTGACAGTTTCTTGAAGAAGTACCTATCGCAACCGGAGGTGAACATCGCCATTGGCCAAGATTATTACTAGAAGATTACTACTTGAAACGTCATACGCATTAACTCTTCTCTCGCTACTGTACAGGCTATGTTTAGATGGTCCTTACAAGGTCAGATTAAAACGAGCAATGCCTCTAATATGTGCCTACTACAACTGCTGCATGCAGGGCAAACGTCAGCGCATGATAAAAATACATAAAACGAATCAAGTAAGTGCTACGTGAATCCTGGGCACTTGGGAGTCAAGAAATTAAGGATTCAGAAACTAAAGAACAACCCTTACAAAAAAAAATTGAGCGAGGGAGTATCCAATTTGTATACAGAATTGTGTATTCAGTGAATCGATTACTTATTGAACGTGCACCTAACTTTTTATCGCGTTTCTTGAGCTAACTAGGCCGACCACTGGGTTTCGAAAAGCTGTACACTAAAGTGTCTAAAATTCAGATGGAAAGCCTGTAGACTTTCTATCCAATGTTAAGACATTTTAGTGTATACCTTTTGTATTGAAACTGACGTGCCAATTAACTAAAGAAAGTCGTTAAAAATGGAGATACATTGTGGATAGCAAATATTGCTAGAATGTCTGTAGATCTTCTATTCAAAGTTCAGACACTTCAGTCTACAGCTTTTTGATCCCGAGTGGTCGGCGAATTAGCTCAAGAAACGCGATAAAGAGGTGGATACATTGTGAATAGAAAAGGTTTGCTAGAACCCCTGTAGGCTTTTATTTTTGAAATTTCAGACATTTAATCCTATATAGTTTGTATCCAAAGCGGCCGGCCCCGGCTGATGTCGTCCTCCGTGTCGATTGCAGCCATCTTTAGGTTGTACTCCAGAAGCATGCCATCTGGGAGAGCACAACGTAAAACCGGGCAGAGCAGTGCACAGAAAGAGTCCTCGCTCACCACCAACTCCTTGAGCCCTCGCGAGCGTATAGGTTGTCATACTAACGTCTGAGGCCTTTAGGGTTCCGTGACGACGACACATGAGGAATATCCATTAGGCCCTCCATGTCGACTTGGATGAGTGCTTCCTGGCTTCTGAACGTCTTCCGCAGGAGGTCCACGGCGTCGGAGTACCGCTGTGTGGTGGGCTGTTAGGCCGGCAATGGCAGCTCCACTTAGCGCTGATCGCAGGTAGTTGAACCTTTCCGCCGGCGATAGGTCCGAGTTCAGATAGGTGGCGTTCTCGAAGTGTTCCCAAAAGGACTGCCATTTCTTCCGCTGACCGCTGAATTTCAGAAGTTCAAATTTTGGGAGTTTGATTCTCAACTTCGCTGCAGCGTTGCCGATCTGTTAGTGCTTCCAATAAGGTTACTCTCGTTGGCTGGATTGTCGCGTTCCGCACTGCATCTTAGCTGGCTGTAGTGTCAGGATCTTGTCCGCATATTCGAGGACGTGGGTGAATTCGAGGTCTCCGTCTTACTCCGAAATGAGTGGTTCGATGGTGGTGTCGGCGATGCTACGTTCACCCTGCTCCAGGATCAGTCGTTCGATGAGTAGCTTTAGGTCCTCGCTGTGGGGTTGCGCAGATTGCAGCAACGCCTCAAAGTCGTTCTCTAGCCGCGTCACTTGTGACCGAACCGCCTTGCGATTTTTCTTGCGAACTTCCGTGCTGTCGTTCTAGTAGAAGGAAGAATCACTCACTTTTCTTTCGCCGTTCCAAGTGTTCACAGCGCTGTAATCTCGGGTTTACAGCATCAATATTTCTGTTACAGCTGTTTTCTCTTGCTGGCAAATGAGGCGCTACTTGAGTACAACAACAACAACACTTTTTGTAACTCCGCTGCGAACAGCTTTCGTTCAATAGACAAAATGTCGTGCGCAGAGACTCGCTTCCGTTCGCGTTCTGGCCGTCGTGTCATTGTCCTTCTTTTCGTCGCTTCCCTCTTCGAAAGATAGGAGGACCCCAACCGCCAGAGGCAACGGGAGAAGATGCGCCCATTTGTTCCTCCAAACCGGTTCCAACCCGGGACGGTCACGCACGGCGCTGTAGAAGTCACCGTATGAAAGGACGCTCTTGTCTCCACGAGGAAGTTCGTCCCGAATCTGGGATTCTTCTAGGAAACGTTACAACACAGTGTTTTTTGTTGTTGATTTTTTTAGCTGCGTGAAGTTTTTAAATAAAGGGGGGAAAAGTAATATGAATGCGGTTTTCGATGCGTGTTTATCTGGCTTGATGGACACTAGGTGGGAATATGACCATCTCTATTATCGGTCGAATCAACTAAACTTCGGTATTTAACTTTTTTAATTACCATAATTAGGGTATATGTTTTTATTACAAACTTTGAGGCGGTCGTATGCCAAGACTTTCATTTTGTGTAATTCGAATAACCAGCGTGTGTTCCGCGATATTGCTCTCCGAATTTTGCACTTTTATCCGACTAATGTAGCGAAGGTTTACAGGAGGTGAGCAGAAAAAAAAAAGTCAGATTAAGTAGAAAATTCGGGGGCAGATATTTCGGAACACGGAAACGACAAAAATTTCAAAAAATATATATATATATATATATATATATATATATATATATATATATATATATAAACAGAAAATAATCTATTGTGGCCAAAAGAATAGAATGATTGCACTTCCATAACAGCGTCCACCCTGGTCTTGTCCAAAGCAGGCTTTCCGGCCCATCGTTTGGACGTTGCTCTTTACACAGTACAGTGGTTCTATATGGTCTCAATGTAAGCTTCGATCTTGTTCATTTGGCTTAAAAGAGCATAATTCTGCGAATTGTGTATTTATAATTTCTTTGTTCGTAGAAAGTGAAAAGAAGCTCACTTCTTTATACATTACAGATATGTCGTTATTTAGCTTTATAGACCACTGAAGTTAATAAAAGGTATATAAAAATGAGGAATAAAACATTAATCTAGATTTCACACATAAGGGAACAACTGCAGTGTATAGGCGTTTGTCTCAACAAAAGCTATACAAAGTCTCAACACTACCATTAATAGAAAGTATATAAAAAGTGGGTTATAAAAATTAATCCAATCTCAATACATATTTTATAACTGGAGTGTATATATGCTTTTGTATCAACAATGGCTATACAAAATATGAACACTACCATTGATAAAAAGTATATAAATAGCGGGCAATAAAAATCAATTCAATTTTGATACACATTGTAACAACTGCAGTGTACAGACTTTTACCTCAACAAAGTCTATACAAAGTCTGAACAATACCATTGATAAAAAGTATATGCAAAGCGGGCGGTAATAATGAATCCAATTTCGATAAAAAGTTTAACCACTGCAGTGTATAGACCCGTGTCTGAAAATGTGTACACACAATGTATACAAATATGTTGTTAGAAAGTGGGTAGGGAAGAAAGTCGCAAGGATCGTTAAGAAGTCGCAAAGATTTCAATAGCCTGGGCAACTTTTTTTTTGTAAGGTAACAGCGGGACGCGTGCTTGGATACGCTTGTTTCGTCCCAATATTCCGTGAGGAACGAAGACGGAAAATATGAAATCCCAGAGTTTTGGAAATCTTCTGACCAACCGTTAAGGACAAGGCGAAAACCGCATTTTTTACGCGAACCCATCAAGCAAAATAGAGTCGACGGCACGGGGACCTAAAGGAAGGGGAGACTGGACAAAAACTCACACTTGGACTTATCTAAACCAGTTTCTGACTCCAATTAATTAATCGAAGTTGGCAGTAGAAAGACACTTCAAAAGGTGGATTAGCTTCATGTCATTCTTCTAACAGCCGTTAGCTCACATACTTACTGGTTCGCGCCCCTCATGAACGACTCTTACACGCTGGTCTGCAAAACACCCTAACATCTCTTCGAGAAACGTATTGGATAGTGAGAGTGCGACAAGCAACTTAAAAGGTAATCAAGCTGCCCGTAACTTGCAATTTATTTCGCTGCAAACCGGCAAGTAAGCCTACTCCAGCTATAGCGAGTATGAGGGTGAGCGAAGCTGATACTTTCGAGGTTTTCGAGGTGCAGTTCGTTGGAAGTTTCTTCTCTAGACTTTAAGGACTACGCCACACTTAACGAGTGCTACATTCTAGTTACTACGTGTGCGGTTGCTAGGGCTGGGGATTTGATACTTGTGAGGGATTTGACGACCAAGACTATCAGGAGTTGTACAATTGTCGTGTAATAAGCTCTAATAATGGCGCCTAACGCTCAGGCATTCTACCGAGCAAACCGTGAACTGACGTAAGTACGGAACGACATACCCCACAAGGGAGTTGCACCTATGCTTGCGACCTATCGAATCGAGCGTCATTTTAGAGTGTAAAAGTCTGAATGGTGTCGAAAATTTCCCTACAAAAAAGTTAGGACATATTTATTTGAAATTCGACTGATATAGAACATGTAATATACTCCTGATCTTTAAGTTTTCTATATGAAAAGGTTTCAGAACCAATTCCCCCACAATCCAGCCCACTAGCTCATAAGAAAGAGAGTGACCACGCTGCCTCATAGTAAACCTGCCTTCCTTGTAAATTCAAGTTATGTTGACTTCCAAATGTTTTGAATATTACGCTAAAAAGTGACCGATCACTATTGCAGTAGATGGAGGAGAGAATGTTTAAACGAATTACGATCTGTTCACCCATCTCGCCCGCCTTATCACGTGACCTTAAAGAAGGAAATGCTTGACTTAGTTTTAAATACTTTCTCCTCCGCCAGTGTTGGAAAATTGCAAGTAATACACAAATATTCAGAAGACGCAACAGCAAAGTGAGGCCTATTAAGATGAAATTTTCGTATGGTAAGGTTATCAACCGACCAATCCAAATTCTACATCCACTGAAAGTAAATGAGTATCTCTTCTTTTTTTTTTTTTGGGGGGGGGGGGGGGGGGCGAGTTAAAAGGGTTGTTAAATTCGGTAGTTTTTCTAAAGAGTGCTTTCTCGACAGGTAAACAAGACGAATGAAGTCAAACACACACACGAAAATCAAGGAAAGAGGACAAAGACACTTCCGCACAAGACTTACCCCTTCAGAAACATCACCGCTCTTCTCTGTTAATTACCTATTATAAACCTTTTCTTTAAACTGTCGCCTAACAATATTTCCCAACAAAATTATATATTTAACATCAACAAACGTAGCTTCAAATGAAACGCATTAGTCGAAGAAAAGATTATTCGACATAGTTTATGAAAGAAGCTCGGCTGAAACTCTTCAAAAAGGGTGTTCGTCTTACTTCACCGTAGAAACC